ATTAGAAACGGCGAAGCCCGTTGAATATCCGGCAGAACAAACAAAAGTTTGGTAAGTGATAGACTTTTGTTGTCTCAAAAAGGGAAATACTCTATATCTGATACTAAACAGCGTATTTGAATCTGCTTTTAACAGAAGACACGGAGCCATTTGACTTGAAAGTTCAGACGAAGCTCTGTTTGTCAATAGGGGTATGAAAATTTGTTCCAGCCAACTATTTTCTTGCTTTTGTGCTTGACTGTACAGTCTTCTCCAACAGAATCCGTAAATGACTTGACGTTCTATCACTCTGCTTCTTTTCAATAACTTTGTTTTCTGTCAACTCATAATACACTTTAATACACAACAATACATCAGTATAGTCGGATAAAGACATCTTTTATCAACATTATTGAATTTGTAATCAAAATTATATAATGTAGTAGTACAAATTACATATAAATATTACCTATAAATTATAGTCTTAAATTTTACTGATCAATACCGTTCATTCAACGGGTAATAGTATATAAGTGAGAATGTTTTTATTCTAAATTATAACTTTGTTATCAAGTCTAATATAAAACCGGTTAATACTTTAGAGAAAGTTTTCCGATACACGCAAATCCCTGTTTTATACTTAATATGGTTAGTTATAGTTTTTTTTACAAATGTCCTTTATTAATTGGCCACTGACTTAATTTGTGTCACTACCGAATACGCCCAGTTAGCTAATAAAAAATACATTCATTAAAATAATTGATTGTAACAAGCATAAAAACTGAACATTATAATGGTAAACCCATATCTTTTACAATATATAAATATACAGACAATATGACTATCCCAATTGTCAATTAATGCTATGGGTGTAAAAGTGTATTGATAAGGTAAGACTCACATATAGTGAATGGGTCTGGTTCAATTGCCCGAACATTAATTGCCCGACAGCCATTTGCCCGCAGTTAACTATTGAAAAAGGATAACTTTGAAAATAGTATTGGATATTTGTCGGGCAAGCTAACGGCTCCCCAACTTAAGCATTTCTTGGTCTCAGTTTACACCCATAGCTTACGCATGACTATCAATAACGTAGGAGGAATAATCATATCTGAAAAAACTCAATATCCATGCAAGTAATTGTTACTGACTTTAAGCATCGGTGACAAAATGAAACCTTCTCCAGCAACTAATAAAAACACAAGTTACAAACAGCCTATCTTCCCTTGTCGCATAAAGTGAGCTTCTTGTAATAATATGAACATTGCCCACTGCAAAGTTGAAGCATGCAAGCACCACGTTTCACTTACGGGAAAGACCAACGTCACCGCTGTAATACCACAACGTTGGACGTTCATGGCTGAAAACCGGGCATAAGCAGACAATCCTTAAATCCGGTATTTGTCGTTTGATCAACACCCTGCAAAATTTGTCGATCTTTCTAAACAGTCTCAAATACTCGTATACATATTCACAATAGTCGATCCATTTAAATCTCTTCTTGTTTTCTTTCCTCCCTTCCGTAATCGACTACTGTTTGCTTTCTTGCCAGCATTTACGATGAACACTTGATTATGTTTTGAATTAAGAAAGTGCATGAATGTAGCCATTGTATAGTACAATCATTGATTATATGAAAGTTGAGCGTCTATCATCCAATCTAAACTAACGTTAAATATCTGTCATCCAACGTATCATACTTTCGTAAAGGTATTAATAGTCAGAGAATTTAAATTAGAATCATTGACATATTATAATATACAGTACGTCATAACATTGCAATTATTAACCCATGCTTTAATATTTCCATAATCGACATAACCTTAATATCATTTAGATACATAATTTAAAGAGCACACTGATTCTTTCTATATTACTTACTTCTGCAAAAACAAACATTCTGGTCTTTTGTTATTTGACATATTAATATTTCCTAAGACAAACAAATTTGTTCATGAATTTTTTATGCAATATAAAGCAAATTTTTAGACGTGCAACTTATGTACGGACATAAGCTTCATGTGTCTCCCGTTCGTCTCCCATTCGTCTTTTTTTTTCAGCTTTTCTGGGACCACATGTGAATAAATTGATTACTTCCAACACTATCAAATAACATTGCATTGATGTATAAAGACAAATTAGTTTCATCCTCATGAGCTTTGACATTAGTAATCGAACTAAGTGGAGAAATGCAAGAGCGAAATAAACTTTCCAAGCAATGATAAGTTGACATTTTGCGCCCGGTAGGAAGACCGAGTCGCTCTTAATTGTTTTAATAGTCTCTCTTATTCCACTACAAGTTGTTCGAACTTATTGCTTTGACTCACACATTTTATCATAATGATGCATACATACATCCTCGTTTCTGAGAGAGCTTTGTAACAGGAAACCCAAGTTTGGTCAACTCAACATGTCGAAGTGCTTTCGCAGATCTTATACATTTGTTAACGTCTAATAGAAAACCTAGTGTGTTTGAATAATTTTCGACTCTAGTTAGAATGCCGAGTCTATTAAAACTGGTTGCCAAGACTTACCAGGTATGAAGTCAACGTTTGCATTCATTATTTGATGTAAAATCTGCAACTACTGTATGAAAGCATAGATTTACAGCATTTTTAGTAATTATAGGCCGATTAATTAGTACAACAAGCGCGCCAGCTCCAACTGCTTCGATTCCCTACACCAGCAATAATGTTTCCAACAACTTAGGTAAATTAACATATGTCATATAACAGGACTATCGACGTAGCTGTATATTTACGGATAATGAATATTCTAAGTTAGACCGAACAAACAAGGACGATAACAACAACGCGCAAACTGATAACATTAACTGGTTGATCAAAAATTAGCGATCGGCGCTTACCAAATTTAGTGTGTTTTGAGACACGTCTTACAACGATCGAATGGCCGTCTCATCTCATATTGAGTAATCTAACGTTTGATAGACTAGTAAAGTATACACAGTAATACTGTAGCGGCTGCAGAATGTAATTTGCAATTAGCCGTTAAGAACAAAGGTTGAGATAATGATACAATTATCGAATACACAAATAACAAGTACATGTTAGTTTTATTTATTCGATAATACAAAGACAAAGTTGCCACAAAATTGGCGAAAACGCCACTTAGCAAGCATGTTACAATATATTTAGAACCACTCACTTTTCCTTATTACGACATTAAGATATGAGACCGGCAGCGTCGGCAGTTATGATCAATTTGGGGTAATAAAGATATGTGCAGAGTTTGTAGACTGTTTTGACGTCTCATAAGGAAGCCTCGAGTATTTCGACTATATCAATACTGAATATATTGTATATCAAGGATAAATAACGTAGTGTCACACGATCTTCTACCTCTATAGGCGTATGACTTCTGTTAGATGTATTGCCATCGGATAAATAGATAAAGAGATTCTATATTAATACCCTGCCAAGAGAGGGGGAAAAAAATCAAGTGTGGAAAGGAAGGGAAGAAAAGGTGGAAAGGGAAGAAAAGGTGGAAAGGGAAGAAAGGGAGGAAAAGGAAGAAAGGGAAGAAAGGGAAGAAAGAAAAGAAAGAAAGGAAAGGAAAAAAAGGAAAGAAAGAAAAAAAAGGAAAGAAAGAAAAAAAAGGAAAGAAAGAAAAAAAGAAAAGAATAATATATTGTTTAGTCGTAAAAAATGTCTACGAAAAACGCCATTTCTATTGCTCTCACTACTACCGCCATTACTTTTACTACTTCGCCATTGTTTCCACTTTACCGCCATTGCTTTCACTGCTGGTTTCCCTTTCTACCCGTTGGTGACATGCGTATAGTTTCAGAAACCACATATATACCACTTTTTCTAAAAATATTGCCGCCCTAAATGCGATGTGGTTATATGTATACGCAATTATGCAGTTATTTCATTATGATAGTAAGCAAGGCTCTTATCGAGCAAACAATGACGATAGCAACCCTTGTTTATCTATTATTCTCAATCTGTTTATACTAGTGTGACATGTATAATTTATTAACAATAAATGAAATTTTTTCGCGGTAAGTGCTCGATTACGTCAAAAGATTTATTAATATAATATTTCCATGCTATTAAACATGCCTGGCGATCGATCGAAGTTATTTTTTTACCAAATAAGTACCCAATACAATGTTACACTTTTTTTAATGATTACTGTTTATTATCTATAAAAAATTTCCCGCATCCAGTTTTGGAAAAAGGCGCCAAGAAGTCTAAGTATAGAATATCATGTCGGATTTGTTGAACAATTAATTCTATTTTTAACATTATAATATTTCGGCTCAAATATGTATCTCGTGCAGGATCTACGTAAAAAACCTTGGGTTGTGCCTAATAAAGGTCACAAAATACACGATCAGAATAAACGTATAAATACACTACGAATTTTATATTACAGAATCCTGTACAAAACTTGAGAAAGAAAATGCATAAACAGACTTTTGTCAAATTTTTCGGTTTTTGTATCCTTACGGGCATCCGTATTCTTTTATCTGTTCCTCCGTCGTAAGTATCAATCATTCAGAATCTTGTGTTAACGTATATTGTCTCACACGTCTTTTATTAATATTTAATAGATATGCTTTTGATAAGCACCCATCTCCGACCAGAACTTGGAGGTAATCCTCAACTTTTAGTGTACACAACTTTTGTTGCAGTAAATTATGAAAACGACGCGCGTTCTCGATAACTCAAGTAAAAAAAGAATAGAAATATGTTAACAAAAGTGCCCAAATTATAAATTGGTAACAGACTGTTTTAATAATATTGTAACTGCCATGTAAAAAAAGGTTAGATACCATTTTGAGAAATAACATGCAACCTAACGTACCAACTAATGTTTTTATGCTATTAACAGTTACGTGCATAAATTACATTACTATGAATCAAATGCTTACTTATCGTGTGTTAAACTTTTAAAATATACAGCAGGTTTCCCTCTTCTGGTCATATTCATCCCACCACCAGTTTAACTATTTTTCGAACAAATACACCCACATCAAATTCCACTACGTCTTTATGCAAGAAGCCAATGTAAGCAATCAATATAATACTATACTGGTTGATGTTATTACAAACAATCCTTACAAGTAAAGTTAATTGCATTACGTCACTTTTATTTTCACAGAAATTCGCATACTACGACCTCAACGATAGTCGTAAGGTTGGCACTTTAATTTATTGACTACTGTTGGTGTTAACACATTTATTTACACATCCACATTATTACTGTTAAATTTTAACATATTTTCTCTTCTGGGTCTTTTTTATTCCACTATTAGCTTAACTAGTTTTCGAACAAATACCCACACGCCAATTGGTTCCACTACATTTTCAACCAAGAAACCAAGGTGAGATCTACTTATTCGAATTATTTACAAACAACTTGTTACAAGTCAATTCGCTTTGAACTGCGATTAATTTTTTTTTCGCACAGGCATTCGCATACTACGGCGTCAACGATTGTGGCAAGGTTGGTAAATTATCTGAACAGTTACACTTTAATCTGTTAATTACTCATCAGTCTTCTACTTTCTCTAGCACGAACGTACCTTCGTCTGATGTCGGTAAAACCAACAAGATATTTGTAATCGAAATAATCGGCGGGCTCGGAGGACTGTCTGGTTTATTATTTTGTTTAGCTAAATGGACCGCTATTGTCGATAGCATTGCATAAATTGGTGAGAACAGAAAAAATGTATTTGAGTAATATTTAAAAATTGATATTAACACTTCATTGCAACTTCATGGCATCATTGTAGGTGTATTTACACTGAGAAACTGTTTTATAATTCATGTAATATTGGGTGGGTGAATAGTGATACGCCGCCACAATAATAGCAATATAGACGAGATACATAGACATAGATATTCTCAATTTAATTAAAACATTCTTACAACTCACCTCGATACAGTCTGAGTAACAATTTCATATAAGCCTGCAATTATTTTTGTTGTATCTCGGTTGGGGGCTTGGACTGAGACAACTGAGTTTTGGACCGAGTGTCTGGGTTCAGAACTGAGACAAGTCTCAAACACAACTAACCATGTAAGTCAAAGTGGCCGTGCGGCGTAGCCGTACAAGCGCGAATAACAATAACACCACAACTATCATACATACCGAATCGAAACATATCCTCAATACGTCCCACTTCTACTTGTCAAATAATATCATCGGCTATAGTTAACACACAAGAACTTACCCAAATTTTTCTCCATAAAACATTGTGTTTATTTTTTTCATACTGTTAAATATGTAAAAGCGTACCATTTGACAAAGACAAAGAAACCAACTATCATAATAATAGCAGTATTTTCCAAATACACAGTAGCTCTCTTTATAGTGTATCAAAAAAATCTATTAGTAAAAAATTCTCAAAAATCCACTATATCGAGAGTTTTTGAAAATTAATTAGTAAATACACTATATCGGATAGAATTTATTATAGATGGTTTTGAACCTTTATCCACTATATCGCGATTTTAATTAGTCTCCACTATAAAGGAGGTCCACTATAAAGAGCGGCACTGTGTACATCACATATCATTGACTAGTGAGATACAGTTGACACACGGAAACTTTACCATATTAAAACGTAAACATTTCTATGTGTAAGAGAAAAGCAAGGGTGCAGTCCCCCAATAAATTTAATTTCTGGTTTTATTATATAATATTTGACGTTAGTAATCGAACAAGTGAGAAATACACAGTGGATGGACATCAAACAATAATAGTAGCGTTCATGCTGATAAAAAGATCGAATCGCTACCAATCGTTTTGATAGTCTCTTTTATTCCACTACAAGTTGTTCGAACTTACTTCTTTTACTCATAATTTAGCAACACGGTTCATAACCACATTCGTTTCTGAGAGAGTTTTGTAACAGGAAAACCCAAGTTTGGCCAACTAGTTTACTCAACATGTTGTTGATCTTCCATCTTTGATATTGTTAACGTCTATAGAAAACTTGAATAAAAATGCCGAACTAGTTGCCAAGACTTACAAGGCGTATTGTGCAATTAGTTATAGTTGATAAATAGGTCAAACGTATTAGGAATTCGAGAAACAAATATGGAAAAAAAGAAAGATATTATTCTGCACACGTCCAACGTATATACCAGGGATGAAGTAAAGTTGTGTAACGTGTACATTCATTGTAAGAAAGCAATTGCATTATGTGCAAGCATTGATTAAGAAAAAGAAGCCGAAGTAATTACTTCACGACAGAAATACAGTATGCTGTATTAGTAATTTATAAGCCGGTCAATTAGTGCAGACAATAATGAAGTTTTACCAGCACACTTTTTCGATGCCTACACCACCAATGATGTTTCCGATGACTTAAGTAAATTAATATCAATATAAACAGGAACTAAAAGTATTAGTATTATGTATCGTATATTACGGATAAGTATCCATTTTAGGCTAGGCCGAACAAACAAGGACGATAACAACAACGGGCAAACTGGTAGCATTGACTGGTTTAATCGAAATTGGCGATCGGCACCTACCAAATTTAGCGCATGAATGCTGGAAAAAGCATATTGAGTTAGAAACAAAGATTTAATAATAAGTAAGAATGTTACAATATCGAACACAAATAACAAGTAAGTGCACGTTAGCTTGAATAGGTAAAAATATTCTTATTTTATTCGTTCGATATTACAAAGACAGAATCGCCACAAAGTTAGCAAAAACGCCACATTTTACGATATATTTAGAACCATTCAATGTTTTCCTAATTACGACATTAAGACATTCGACCGGGAAACCTTCGGCCGTTATATTTAATTCGGGTAATAAAGATATACAGAGTTTGTACACTGACTTTAATGTGGTGCTGTTAAGACAAATTTAAACCAGAGGTCGGATGGTCGTGTCAAGGTGTTTTATTGACTAAAAATGCGCTCAACAGCAATCAAATTAGACATCAAATATTAGCATTTACCGGAGAGAAGTAGAGGGAAAGTACACATCATAAAGGTAATTGTTGATGATTAGCAGGCATTTTCAGTAGTTATGCTACTTTATTATTGTTTCTACTACAATTTTATTCTATGACATGTATAATAAAAAAAAAGAAACGACTTTTGCTTCATTTAACAAGAACTTATGAGCACCTATCTTTCCTTAACGTGTCTACTGCCCAAGTTTGTTGACCAATTTGACTAATTACGATATGCAGAATTTCGTCACGTTGTAGTGTTACAGCCGAGAAGCCGGTGTAAATCATGACAACCACTTTGGCGGTCTGCAGGGCGTATAAAAGTGACAAATACTGTAAGTACCCGATTGGCGTCATCTTATATATAATAGATAAATTTATATATAGAAACGAATTGCATATAATAGTAATGGTAGTTATAATGTTTTAAAGGTCTGATTTTATAAACTCGAGTTTCACAATGGGTACATCTAGCTGCCATGTGTTGAATTAGGCAAACAATTAGATTGCTGATGTCATTTATTATTTATCTATTTACATGATCAGAATAATCTATAAATAAATCACACGGATCCTCATTTATTTCAAACTTCTGTGCAAAAAATGCGTAAACAAAAGTGTTTCGGCTTTCGTATTCTTACGGGCATCCGTATTCTTTTATCTGTTCCTCCGTCGTAAGTATCAAGCATTCAGAATAATATTATATCTTGCGTTAACGTATACCGTCTCAACCCAAGAATTACCTTTTCGTTAAATGCGTGCACTAACTTGTCTCTATTGACTAAATTTTCTCAATCGGTTGATGATAAGGTCATACTTTTAGCTATTTGAACACATGCAAAAGGTACCTTACTTTTGTTTAACTTGACTAACTCATAGTGTTTGCAGTCATAACAAACCTGTGTATGAGATCAACAACATTGTAATCGGGGCTTTTCCTTGGACGCCCTTGCATTCTTCGCTCTAAACGCTCTGAGAATTACCGCTATTATGTTCAGCATCACTCGCGCAAGGATTGCCTCACCAATTCCAAGGACCGAAGCAACCTCCTTGCGTAATGATAAGGCTGGACGTTGCGTCTGGTACTGTCGATTATTTAAAAAGTATTGGTAACGCGAATAATTATTCGTTTTTCGTTACTGGTTAAAGAACTTTTGTTCTCTATATATGATCAAGTTTGTTACGAATATTTGAAGTTCGACATTTTCCTTACTATATGATTTGTATGCTCACATGATCTGATTAGCAAATTTTGTACATGTGACGGACGAATTTCAGGTGACGAATTTCGTGGATCAACTTTTTTGTGCCGGACCATGTATAAATATACAGACGATATAACAATCCCAATTGTCAATTAACGTTGTAAAATTGGTGAGACTCACATATAATGAATGGGTCTGGTTCAATTGCCCGACAATTAACTACCAAAAAGGATAACTCCGAAATAGTGTTAGATATTTGTCGGGCAAGTGAACGGTTCCCCACCTTAAGCATTTCTTGATATCAGTTTACACCATCGCTTACGCATGACTATCAATAACGTGGGAGGAATAATCATATCTGAAAAACTTGTTCTTGTAACACCAAGTAATTGTTACTGAGTTTAAGTATTGGAAACCTTCTCCAACAATTAATAAAAACACAAGTTACAAACAGCCTAATCTTTCCCTTATCTCATAAAGTAATAATATGAACATTGTCCACTGCAAAGTTGAAGCATGCAAGCACCACATTTCACTTACGGGAAAGACCAACGTCACCGCTGTAATAGGTAAGATTGGACGTTCTAAACCGGGCATAAGCAGAGCGACAATCCTTAAATCCGGTATTTACCACACGCACGCTACGCAAGATTTGTCGATCTTTCTAAACTCGTATATTAACGTATTCGCAATAATCGATCCATTTTAAATCTCTTCTCTCTTTTCTTCCTTCCCTCGTAATTGACTACTTTTTGCTTTCTTGTCAGCGTTTACGATAAACACTTAATTATGTTAAATTAACAAGGTGCATGAATGTAGCCAACCATCCAATCTAAACTAACATTAAAATATCTGTCATCCAACGTACCATACTTTCGTTATGGACATATACCGTACGTCACTATTTAACCCATGCTTTAATTTTTCCATAATTGACATAACTTTAATATCATGATTCTTTCTCGTATATAAAGCTAGTCTCTATATTACTTACTTTTGCAAAACCAAACATTGTAGTCTTTCGTTATTTGACATATTTTCTTAAGATAAACAAATTTGTTTATGAATTTTTTATGCAAACGCGCAACTTATTTACTGATATAACGCTTCATTCGTCTCCATTCGTCTCCCATCGTCTTCTGTTCTCCTTCCCTTCAGCTTTTCTGGGTCCACATGTGAATAAATTGATCACTTCCAACACCGTCAAATAACATCGGTGTATAAAGACAGATCAGTTTCATCCTCATGAGTTTTGACGTTAGTATTAGTAATCAAACTAGGTGGAGAAGTAGGAAGACCGAGTCGCTTCCAATCGTTTTAATAGCCTCTCTTATTCCACTACAAGTTGTTCGAACTTATTGCTTTGATTCACACAATTTATCAAAATAATGCATACCACATCCTCGTTTCTGAGAGAGTTTTGTAACAGAAAGTCCAAGTTTGGTCAACTCAACATGTCAGAAGTGCAGATCTTAACGTCTAATAGAAAACCTAGAGTGTTTGAATAATTTTTGACTCTAGTTAGAGAGTCTATTGAAATTGGTTGCCAGGTATGAAGTCAAGTTGTGTGACGTTTGCATCCATTATTTGATGTAAAATTGCAACTACTGTATGAGCAAAGCATAAATTTATTTTTAGTAATTTATAGGCCGCTTAATTAGTACAACAATCCAACTGCTTCGATTCCCTATACCAACAATAATGTTTCCAACAACTTAGGTAGATTAACATGTCATATAACAGGACTATCGACGTAGCTGTATATTTACGAATAATGGATATTCTAAGTTAGACTGAACAAACAAGGACGATAACAACAATGCGCAAACTGATAACATTAACCGGTTGATCAAAAATTAGCGATCGGCGCCTACCAAGTTTAGCGTGTTATTGAGACACGTCTTACAACGATCGAATGCTGAGAAGAAGCTACTCATCTATATTGAGTAATCTAACGTTTGATAGACTAGTAAAGAAATATGCATAGTAATATTGTAGCAGCTGCAGAATGTAATTTACAATTTGCTGTTAAGAACAAAGATTGAGATAATAAGTAAAAATGTTACAATCATCGAATACACAAATACAGACACATGTTAGTTTGAATAGATAAAACTGTTATATTTAATTTATTCGATAATACAAAACCAATGTCGCCACAAAATTGGCAAAAACGTCACGTAGCAAGCATGTTACAATACATTTACAACCACTCAACTTTCTTTATTACGACATTAGGAAATGAGACCGCAGTTATAATTAATTTGGGGTAATAAAGACATGTGCGCGTCTGTAAACTGTTTTGACGTCTCATAAGGAAGCCTCGAGTATTTCGACTATATCAATACTGAATATATTGTATACCAAAAATGAATGTTACACGATCTTCCCACTCTATAGTGACTTCCTACTGTCAACGGTTAGATGTATTGCCATCGGATAAATAGATAAGAGATTCTATTATTAAATTTAATTAATACTCTGCCAAGAGAGGGAAAAGAAAGAATCAAGTATAAAAAGAAGGAAATAAAGGAAATAAAGAAAAGAAAGGAAAGAAAGGAAAGAAAGGAAAAAACAAATGTATTGTTCAGTCGTAAAAAATGTCTACGAAAAATGCCATTCCTACTGCTTTCACTACTACTACCGCCATTACTTCCACTACTTCCGCCATTGTTCGCCATTACTTCCACTACTGGTTTTATTACCCCCCCACCTCCCTTTCCACCATGCGCATAGACAATTTCTTCTTTCGGAAACCACATATGACAGACACATACAGTATGCCGCTTTTTCTAAAAATATTGCCGCTCTAAATGCGACGCAAGCATTCTTAATTAGTCAGTTATTTCATTGTGACTAGTAAGCAAGGCTCTTATTTTTAATATTGTAATCCTTGTATAATTAATTCTTACTTAAATGAGAATGACATATGTGCATGAATGAACAATAATATTATTTGATAGAAATGCTTAACATCTTTCCCCCTTGAATGATTCGAACAAACAATGGCGATGGCAAACAATGATTAAAATGGCAATGTTAACTGGCCGATCGAAAAATTGGTGATCGGCGGCCACCAAATCTGAAACGAGTTAGTGTTACAAGTATTAGTGTTACGACACGCCTTACAAAGAGTGAATGCTGAAGAAATACTACTCATTAATATTGTCTGTATATTGACTAGTCCACCATTTAATAGCTAATAAAATAAATACACACAACAAGGTCCATACTTTAGTCAAATATCAGTAATTCGTATTGTAGCAGTTGCAGAACGTAATTTGTCATGTGATTTAAGAACAAAGATCAAGATATAAGTTAAGGGTACAATAGCGGCATACAAAAGTGTATGTTAGCTTGAATAAGTAACTATTTTTATTTATTGTTTAATATTACAAAGAAAAACTCGCCACAAAACCGGGATAGCCACCTGTTATGATATATTTAGAACCATTCAATTTTTCCTTATTACGACATTGAAGACGTAAAACAATAAAGAATTGACAAGGCCGGGAACTTCGGCTATTTAAACGTACATAATGCCATTTGTACTATGTTCTATAATTAATTAAATCGACGTTACAGCACAATCGTATAAGAAATTTCTAGTTACAATAATAACAATTTCGAGTATTGTTGTTTTCTACATATAAATGGACTGGGGTACGGCACATACTGTAAACAGCGTGATTACCATAAAATGCAAGACGAGACTAATTACGTATACCAAGTTTTTTGTGTACAAGCTTGTGTTGCTTTGTAAATTAATATTTCTTTGATAATACATATTTGGGTCTAAGCTGATACGCACGCATGTTCTCTGATGCTTGTCTTAGTGTACAATTTAGTTTCAAGATTACCTGTATTAGAATAGAGAATATTATGAAGGCGGAACAATTGTGTGACGCGACTAAGTTATAACTAATTTGAGTAGAATATATGTACGGAATATGTATACAATTTAATGCGACAAAAAAATTGCAGAGCGCAGATGGTCATGTCACGATTAATGATGTCTGTAGATTAAAAGTCCTTTTTATCAGATTTGGCAATCAAAAGTCGCTAAGAGATACCATTAAAGAGGACATAAGGTCTCATGAAATGAAAAAGTGGCGATTACGAATAAGGCCTGTAACGTGTGAAATAGCTAACCACGTACCCCCCACATTATCCACTTTATTATCAGCCAATAAATGTCATATATCGATATGTTCGTGATTATGTCATTGACAAAAATAACGTGAATTATCGTTACGTGACGATTTGCAGATCATTTGCATTTTCAAGACGCACCAAATATCTCATGAATAAGCCCTTGTTTACGGTAATTGTCTATGACTAAAAATAAACACCTCGGCCTACCCTTGATTCGCCACCTGCCTTTAACCCTTATTGGGTTTCGGGGTTTAGTGCCACGGGGTCGGCATTCTTCTCCCCCAGTTTCCAGCAGGCATTTTTAATAATTACCTATTTATACTAGTGTGACATGTATAATTTATCAAATATTAAATGAAATCTTTTCGCTTCATTTGCCAAAGCTTATGAACAATCAGCTTTGCTTGTTAACTAGTTTTGAGTCTGTGTATACCACACTATATAATCAAGTGTTTTATTTGCCTCTTAAAATAGTATTATATAGATCAGGGTAAAGCGGCGGATAAATGTTCGATTACGTCATGTTAAGATATTACTAAATTTATATAACCATGTCACTAAACATGTTTATTATTAGCGATCGATCGAAGTATTTTTCTACCAAATAAGCACAAATACAATATCACACTTTTCTGTTTGTACCTGGAGGTCAAGTATAGAATGTACTGTCACTTTTTTCGAACGTTTAATTCTATTTTAGCATTATAATATTTCTGATTTGGCCGAACAAGAAAAGACCTGTGCCGGCCCACCGTAGCTGCGCTAATAAGTACCCATCAAATGATTATTCTCTTCGATAATTTAGCCAGGATAGATCTTATTGGCTCAAATATGTACCTAGTACAGGTTCTACGTAAAAGAACACCTTCGTTGCGCCTAATAAAGGTCACAAATACATGATCAGAATAAACTATAAATACACTACGGATTCCATATTACAGAATCCTGTACAAAAAACTTGAGAAAAAAAATGCGTAAACAAACTTTTGTCAAGTTTTTCGGTTTTTGTATCCTTACGGGCATCCGTATTCTTTTATCTGTTCCTCCGTCGTAAGTATCAAGCATTCAGAATAACATTACATCTTGCGTTAATGTATACCGTCTCACACGCCATTTATCAATATTTAATAGATATGCTTTTGATAAGCACCCATCTCCGACCAGAACTTGGAGGTAAGCCTCAACTTTTAAGGTTCTACTTATGTAACACAAATTTTGTTGCAGCAAATTATGAAACTAGGCGCGTTTTCAAGGTTCAAGTAAGAAAAGAAATAGAAAATATGCAAGAAAAGCGCCTAAATTGGTAATAGACTGTTTTAATCTGGCTACAAACTTGATGTTAATAATATCGTAACTGCCATGGAACAAATTTAGAGATCATTTTGAGAAACAGTGTGCAAATTAACGTACTGACTTATTGCCTTTAATGCTTATCAACAGTCGTGCATGTGTTACATTGCTAACGAATCAAATGCTTATGTCTTAAACATTTAATAAATATACAGCAGATTTCCATCTTCCCGTCATATTCATTCTACCACTGGTTCAACTAGGTTTCGAACAAGTACATTCATGCCATATTCAACTACATCTTTATGCAAAAAGCCAGTGTAAGTAATGTGACACTATACTCGGTGGATGTAATTACAAACAAATTCTACAAGTAAATTTAATATGCATTACGTCACTTTTATTTTATACAGAAATTCGCATACTACGACCTCAACGATAGTCGTAAGGTTGGTAATCATTCATTTGAACAGCACTTTAATATATTAAACTACTGTTTGATGTTAACACATTATTTACCACACATTCACATTATTAATGTTAAATTTTAACATATTTTCTCTTCTGTTATCTTTATTCCACCACTAGCTTGACTCGAACAAATACATTCACGCCAATTGATTCCACTACATTATCAACCAAGAAACCAATGTAAGCTCTACTTATTGAATTGTTTGCAAACAAGTTAATTTACTTTAAGTTACAACTAATTTTTTTTTCGCACAGGCATTCGCATACTACGGCATCAACGATCGTCGCGAGGTTGGTAAATTATGCACTTTAATATGTTAAACTACTAATTGATGTTATTAAGCGCTAACACCCGTCTTCTACTTTCTCTAGCACAAACGTACCTTCGTCTGATGTCGATAAAACCAACAAGATACTTGTAATTCAAATAATCGGCGGGCTCGGAGGACTGTCTGGTTTATTATTTTACTTGATTAAATGGACCGCTTTTGTCGATGGTATTGCATAAATTGGTGAGAACAGAAGAAATGTATTTAAGTAATATTTAAAAGTTGATATTAACACCCCATTGCAACTTCATGCCATCATTGTAGGTATTCACTGCAATATCACTATTAGGTGGGTGAATAGTGGTACACCGCCACAACAACAACAACAACAACAACAACAACAACAACAACAACAACAATAATAATAATATAGATGAGGTATATAGATATCCTCAACTATTTGGGGATAATTTTCAATTAATTATGATTAAATTATTATTACGGAATTTACATTATCATTCTTGACAAGCTTTATGAGAAGTATATGCATATATTTTTATTGCATGATCGACGTCCCTTCTTTCTTGCGCGTGTATAAGCAAACCCGACAAGTGCGCTGTGGCCTACTGTTCTCATGGCAACAACCGTCGTTTTTGATAAATAATAACTCTAAGTTTACGTGGGCATATTGTACGTCAGATGGGAATTTATGTCCAATCCGAACTGACATATGTCAGATTGGAATAGCAAAGACAATCAGTTAAATTGACTAAGCTCTGAGCCGAAGCAAAGTTGTTCTTAATGCAAACGTGAGTAAATTGACATAAGAATACTTTATGCTACTGAATATGTTAGCGATAGTCCCTCGATGCGGGGATGCAAATACAATTGCTGATCGACATATCAGTGAGTTACTAAATGCGGTAGCTAAAATTCTCCCACCCGATTCATGATATTTAAGACTCGACCAAGCTTAAGGTGGTGTAACATACCATCTGCCCAACTTGTCAACCAAAATTGGTAAAATACAGACGGATCGTGTAAAAAATCAACAAATTTGCAAGCTTTCAAGCTTTCGATTGGTGGAGGCTGCTACAATCTCTTATAGAGGAGTTGGTTAAGCGATAAACGAAATAATAGTAGCGTTCACCGTCGTTGATTATATTCTATGTGTTTTAATCGAGTGATTGGTGATCAAATATACGCTATACTCTTTATCGAATGTTTCAATTATTTCATTAAATAAATCATTTTTGTGAGTAGTTGAAATATTTTTCTTTGGCACTGGTTCAGGTTGTGCAGTTTTTGTAAAATAAATGTTGTTTGATCGGATGTTTTATACGATTCCTTATAAACAGTTATGCATGCCATACAATGTCTTTGAAATAAACGTTTAATGTTTTACGTATGTGAACGCGGTTTTTGAGAATTAACGAAAGCTATAAAGTTAATGATCAACAGCGTAGTAAAGTTACGTGCAATATTATTGTATCATGAGATATGATTCAAGTGTATACAACGATATAAAATAAGGGCGTAATACAAGTAACAACCACCAACTATTGATTATTTGTGTTAAAATTACTGACGTTAGAATAACATATAACAAACGCGGTTGTTTATGTCAAGTAGTGTTAATGTTGTAATGTCAATGAAATACTTTAATAACGCTATTACCTGATTGTCGGTTGGACATAAATCCAAATTGACATACAACAGCCTACCAGGTTTTCGTTGAGAAGTGTTGTATGTCGGTTTGGAATTTATGTCCATTCGGAATAGACATATGTCGGATGGGAATTTGTGTCCATTCCGAATGAACATATGTCGGATGAGAATTTATGTCCATTCCGAATGGACATGTATGTCAGATTGGAATCATAAAGACAATCAGGTAACAACATTATAAAATTATTTTATTAACGTTAACATTAACTCTACTGCACATATTATGATACAAAGAACGATGTACTAATTAACATTACTGCATTGACAATTATGAGGGTGGCAGTTTAAGTTACAAATGACAGCAGCTTTGCGACAAGCACATCGAGCCGCTGAACAACTAGTCTTACAACTACATCTAATCTTGTTTAAATTGGCCAAACTTTGAGCCGAAGTGGTTTTATTATTTTGACAGAATGCTTTGAGTTACAGAACGCTTAATAATTGTCTTTCTATACTTGTAGACAAATACAATTGTGAGAAACCATCGCCTGATCTGACATATCATTGTGAAAGAATGCTTTCAGTTACAGAATACGTTAGCGAATAGTCCTTATATTTGTACGGGGATGCAAATAAGTAAACATATTATTGTGAATATGCTTGAGCTACTGAAAACGTTAGTGAGAAGAACTGAAAAACGAGCGATTCCTTTGGTTTGTGCGGAAATATCGCCTGACTAACAAACAATTGTGAAAGAATACTGAATACGTTAGTTAAATTATTCAAGACGGTTTATGGTGCGACACACACATCTACCAACTTGTCAACCAAATTTGGGCTAAAGTACGGACAGATCGTGTGAAAATTAACAACCGCGCCCTTCGATTTAGTGGTAGCTACTACGAATCCTTGTAGAGAATTTGGTTTAAGCGATAAACAGAATAAAACAGCAATGTACTGTTCACTATCGCCATTGGTTATTTATTGCTTGATGAGTTAAGTTATCAAATAAGTTTTTGTTAATCACACAATTTGACGATTGATGTGTGGTTTTTGACGAAGGATTCAACCATGCGACTTGTAGTTTCTGTCTGTATGCGCACAATTTGTCGAATAACTTGATAGTTCACCAGTAATAAAGAATATGAGAAAAAATAACGTATTTATGACGAACTTATTTTAAAGAAAATTATGTGGCAGTTTATCAGTAATTATCGGTAATAGAAATATATAATAATAATAAACAGATTTATGTAATTTATTATGACATAACTTTATTTTGAAAGTAAAGTACGGGTAGCCGTTATCGGTAGATTAACGTAATTCTGACATTTATTCTGACGTTTATTTTAAAAAAGGAAAGATCTGTAGTATGGCAACCTGACGTAGAGGTGACACTAATATTATGATGTGCCACAATCATATGGGAAAATTAATGATAGATCGGCAATTTAAGTGCGAAGCAATCGCCAGATTGAGACTATTGATTTTATTATTGGGCTATACTATCGGGTTTTTATTATTTTATTATTTTCGAGAGGAAAGCAAACGAAAAGTGAGATTTTTTTATTATTTTGAAAAGATTGAAGAAAAAAAAAATGGTAAACGGGGCTTAAATATTGAAAAAAATTAATCATTATTATGATAACGATCACAGTCAATGTTTTCGATCATTATTCGTTACATTATGATTACTTTCATTCATCAAGAGAAAAATTGTAATTTATTTTGGAGCCTGTCGATAAAAATGAAATACTGCGGCACATTTGTTTCATCTCTTATAAATAGATGCATGGTTCCGGGGGCGAAGGTACAATAACAGTATATAAAATTGGTCGTATAAAATTTCCAAAAATCTTACCAGAAAAGGTAATTAAAGGTTAGTGCGAAATATTAAATCTGGGGAAAATATTCGCAAATGGCGAATAAAAATGGTGTAATCGACGTATCAGGTTAAGATCGTGCGTCAAGTGATGAAGGGGAAATTTTACTACGCGGTAATAACAAGCATGATGTATAAGGAAAGTATCAAATATTTCATACGGATTGAGATGTTAAAAAACTTGGCCTAATCGGACAATAAGTACAAGTAAGTATTGGGTGTAACATGCATAGATAACATATAAAGGAAGGTATCGAATTTGTCATGTTTTGAAGTTTAGAAACTTAACCTTTTAGCGAAATCAAACAATAGGTATAAGCATAGTACCGATAACAAAGTTTAAACGTGAGATTCTAGGGGCCAAACAATCCACCACCGGAATGAACTGCATCAAAGAGGGTATCCTGTAAACTCCACCGCAGGCGTTCACTAAGCATTGCCACTTAGCTCGACCATACAAGGTGCCTGGGTTGTTGCTAAATTCCGATAACATACACAGACCTAGCGAAATCCCGAAAGAAGAATCAAAAAAATGTCAAGTGAATTGGATTTAAACTAAACGCATCTTGCGTAAAGACTCGCGGAGCTGCTTGCTAGCTAATACAGAGAAAGACTTGTTCGTTATCTCGAATCGAATAGCGGCAAATCAGGTAACTGTGGCTCAGAACCAACATGCACCAATGAGATTTCTCTTTCTAATGATGTAACTATAAATACTGTACCATTACGTTAAAAATCTCGCGAATTACGGCTATGTTTACAGATCCGTAGATATACCAGTAGCAAATGGCCTCAATGTATTTCCTTTTCGTTTATCGAACACTCACCGTCTACAACACTGTCAATTTATCCAATGGTCAATTATTATTATTTAATATGCAATAAATACATTTATCATCATGACGATTAAACTTTCATGAACTTATTCGTTGTTATATATCGTAAACTTTATCAACTTTATTCAATGTATTTTTGTCCTTTTCTAATTACTTAAGGATATTATCTGAGTACAGATCCTTGGTTTCTGTATTTCCAGTTACCTGATCTATCTTTCGACCTTCCGCAAGATTGTAAATCGCTGGCTGTTTTTGCTTCTTTTTTCCATCATAAAACAAATTTGTCGGTATAGCCACTCCGGTCCACGTAAACTCTTCGCTCGTCAATTGTTATCCCAAAGATGAATAGATTTATTATAAATTTCGTATATTGAATAACATTAGTATACTAGTGGATAGTTTGATTTTTTTCTTTTTTCTTTCGATACAGGCTGATTCTTCGATATGTCAAAAAAATAGTCTCAACTGACGGACCTAGTTATAGTTGAGAAAATGCAAAACCAGGCGGGTTTTCTCCCCTTTGTAAATGATATCAGCTAGCAGTGAGTGCTTTCCGGATGTGAAAAAACCTCATTATTACTATGTCTTTTATCTCTCTCCTCATTATGTGGCACGCTTTTTTAAAGATACATCTACTATTCACTACTATTGTATTGTAACAATTCATGCACATGTATATTCACCTTTATAATCTTTGAAATATGAAGTCCGAATTTCATTAATTCTCGCCACAAATAAGCCGTTTCCAGTTGTCTTTTCCGCATATTTTTATTATGCAATGTTAAGTTGTACAACCTTTCGAGTTTTGTAAAAGGTGTCTCTCACAAAAGAAGTCGATACTCAAATTATTTTTAACAAAGTATATACTGTCCATTTATTTTTTTGAATGGGATGCTGCGTAGACTAAAATGTATCAAAGAATTAATTCCAGCCACAACGTCATTATACCAAATACAGCCTGCTATGCCATTTAGCGAACCGAAACTCTCTTAAAAAATAAGAGGTGAGCTTGCAATGGAAGAAACAGACGGCTCTAGACTTGTCTTGAGAGACAGTAACTGTCCTATTTTTGAGTTTGTAAACTAGTTGTTTTCGTAAGTGTGTCGTATAACCCAAAAAGAATACATCAAGTGGGCCCGCACTTGATGTATTCTTTATGGATTATTACGATACACTCGTTTCCGACAAGTTTGCCACACTCACAACAATGCGCCGTCATCGTGAAGTTCCGGACTGAGAAGTTGTAAAAGTTCTCCACTGCGGAAACTCAATGATGTTTTTCCCAGGCTAACGTCGTCGAGCTTTCTTTGTACCAAAGAGTTGTTAAATTTATTTTTAAACGTTAGAAACTTTCTTTGAATTATTTGGTCGGTTTAGACTTTTGATGGTTGTGCGGTTTAATTATTGCAAATTTCATGCAGATTTTTGCCAATATCATTGGGTTCGTCAACCGTTATATGCAGCAGATATAAATTAGCTAAATTAGTTCATTTTCCAACCACATTAGTCTCCTTTGATTAAATGTTTCCTTTGTCTAAGTTATCTCATATTATATAGTTTTTGCTCTAATGGACAATATTATCTGAACAAGCAATTTAATGTTAAATAGGGATTTAAATACCAGCTTGTGACTTTATTGTCAGGTAACTTGTTGGCTATTAGTTGGATTACTAAAATTATTTTTTAACAAGAATAAATTTCGGTAATTTTTTTTTTCAATTATGTTGCTTCTTTAGCCATTAGTTAAAATAACAGGTAATATCTAATCTACCAAATTATTAACTTAACGTTATTGATAAATTAAAAAGCATAAATGTTTAAAAATTTTACTTTGTTATATTAACCAATGTAGTGGTCATTATAAAATTATAATTGCTGTATAAATGCTTATTTATTACAAAAATTTAATTAAAACAGTGCAAAAAACTTAATTAAAATTTTGTATTATGCATAGTCATCATAAATTTTGTCTCAAAGACATCCCACTTTCTTGCTGATACAGTTTCCCTGTTAATTGTCTGACTCTTGATCAGCTGCAACACTGGTGTTATCGTATTCCCTCGACTCCACAATAATATGGCTACATATAATACAGTTGTTGTGAGAAGTCGAGTTGGCAATTTCCGATGGTCTGGTACAAATATTGCAAATTGAACAAGCCAAACAATATAGAATCAAAATAGTAAAAAGTCCAACTATAATGATTACGGCCTTCAGAAACGGGCTTAAATTTTTTGTCGTTTGTAGTAAATCCGAGACAGTTGCAGACGTATTGTCCGAAATTTTCTTGTCATGTGTTCTTTGTGGAGCGGAGCTGTTGGTATTAAAAAAAAACCATGTAAGCGTAATATCGAAAATTGATTAATTAATTAACTTGTGCCTCAATCCCCGTAGACATTAGCGATGCTGACAATACAGTATTAAGTGACCGTCATATCCATCAACCTTTGTTATATTACTTACGAAATATCCAATTTTTCATAGCAACAATCTAAACTTTTGGTCGGCATTGCATAAATTTCGATGAACATGGCAGCAGCGATCAAAAATATTATTACTAAACTACTGATAGATGGCATTTTTGTATCATTAACTGATTGAGGTTGAAAAAAAAACTTGATAGGTGGTTTGAGAAAAATAATTTTTCGTAATAATTAATTTATTATCAACTTTCGTTGGCAAGTGGAGGTATTTAACAAAAAAATTTTGATCGGCGACATCTGTTCCTAAATTGCAAAATTCAAGGTTTGTATTGAATGCACCTCGTAGAAAATTGGTGTGGCTAATATAATGAAAACTTGTGTGACTGATAATGAAAACTCGTGTGACTTTTATATACTTATTGATTTCGTGGTCCTTTATTGACACAGCTACGGTGGACCGCTAGAGCTGTTTTTATATACTTATTGAATGACATTAATAATAATGCCAATATTACACTAATATACAATAGACTGGATACACACAAGCTAAACAACTTATGTAGCAGAAGAAATTTATAAACAATTTTTCCGAAATAGAATTTAATAACAAAGTGTTAAAAACTACGTAAATACAATTAATTATTGGTAATTAATATATTATATGTATCTATTCTATATTTGCAACGAGGCTAGAAACGGCTGATATTCAAGAATGCGTTTAAAAATACGATCTGTTTGGTTTAATTTCGTTTCCGTTATATTTCTTTTTACGGAACGACAAAGCCTTAATATTAATATTTCGGCCAGCTAACGGATACACAATATACTTATTGAGATAATCAATGGTATTGTAGTCCCAAACTCAGCATAGCTATATAATAAGCGTACGTTAATGACTTTCTTTTCAATTCCGTATACGGAGAGACAAAGCGTTAAACTAATTATTTTATTTAAACATTTTAACGCGTTGCAGATACACAACAACTTATTTAGACTATCAATAGTATTTGTTGTGCCAAATACAATGTTAGTGCTACCATTTCAACTTCAGCTAGATTACTACGGAGAAACAAAAGCTTGGACTGATCAACGTTTTGCGGGCTGACAAATAAACAATATCCTTATTTAGACCATCAATCGCATTGTTGTGCCAAATACAATATGATGAATAAACGTTAGTGCTATTTTTTCACTTCGCTATATACTTATTGTGGAGAAACAAAGCGTTGAACTTTAGCCGGAAAGACTTATTAGTGCAAACACAAAAAATAATACTTTGTCCGGACAAAACTAAGATATCTTCCACAACAAACTATTGTTCAGTAGTCCAATATAGAATACTGCTGATCCGCCCCCACATGGTATTACTTAGCACGGTTGATCGAAGACGATTTACATTATTCCATAGTAGCAATTTTACTTAAAGCGTTCTACCACAAAGTCTGCATATTGGGAAAAATTAATTGTTGGTGAAATAAACGTCTTCCCTTTAACGTCGTGCAGTAAAATATTTCTATTTTTACTCCGAAGTGGAGTGGCCACGGCCCCGCCAAACAGATACCGTGCGACGTTAAAAAGTGCACGCACGGTGTACGGCATACTATGTCTTTCAGATCAAGCGAAGGCGACCCCTGTAAATTGAATCTGGCTATTTGTTCACCAATTCGTACCGCATTTAAACTTCTGACCGTCTTGATATGAAAGACAGGAATTTATCTAAGAAAATTGTGAGTGAATAAGGTGATATGGTAATTTGATTGATTTTGACGATTTAAAAAAATTGAATAAGTTATACCTATTCCGTGTAATTAAAAAAAAATTAATATTGAGAGTTGTAGTAAAAGAATGCTCTTGTTGATGTTAGAACGTGAGTAATATAGTTTACGATTGTATATGAAACTGTATGTCTCGCAGAAGTATTTTGGAAGTTTGCTTGCATAGTCTAGAACTCTACCTTGTTTTTAGTGAGTACTATTTCTATTCGCCGAATATCGTGTCAGGCTCCAAGGTCACAATGCTGCACGTAGGAAACAGAAATAATAAGTGATTACATTGATGCAAGAATAAAAAGTTCTAAACAGCCAACGGTAGAATTGAAATTACCATCCCCAACTTCTAAACGCAGCTTTATGCTTTCGGATTTTTGGCCTCTTTTTGTTCAAGTATTGCGTCTAAAGATAAAACTGATTTTACGACACCCCACATCAGTGACATAAAAATCAATCCACAGCAAACAGGGAGCAAAAGCTGGCTTCAGACTGTCTAATAATTATTGGGCATTGTGGCTTCAAAAAAACGTCAACATATAAAACATGCCGAATCTCTTGAGGAATAGACAATTTCAGATTAGACTCGGTAAAGGGGAGGGGTAAAGCCCAAAGTACCGGATATCGATAAATAGTTTGTTGTTATTTCGTTGCAGCTTGGAGACTCCATCTTTTTATATAAATATTTTGATGGGGACCCGTGTGTCACTAGCTATTGTAATACTGATTATCCTTAACCGGAGTAACATTTATCAAAATAGAAAGAGCTATCGTGTATGTAAATATAATTGATGGGTTCGGATTAACGCTTGAAGGCTTCGCCATTAGCACCCGATATATATTATCAACTTTTGATTGTGCGCTTCTCGACACCCGAGAAATTAACACATGCTCCAATATTCGACCAATTCATGATCAAGCGAAGTCTTTGCGGATCAGCATCCATTCTTTCGAAAAGATGGAATTAACCTACATATGAAGAAACATTTTTGCCCGTCAATGTGCTTAACGTGGTATTGAACAATCTCAATAAGGACTAATAATTAGGGCCAACAGCCTTTTTTTAGACATAACAAGGTCTTTCCTTTATTTACGGTTACAGTGTCAGCTGTAATTGATTTTGTTCGCACGTATTTGTTGGGTACGATAGTCTTAAAATGAACGTTCCGTAATAGCATTACGCCATACATGGAACATTAAAAAGAAATATTGACATTTTAGTCTTTCGCCAGGGTCACACATGCCTTGGTGTGATATAAATAGTAACGATTAATTAGTCTTTGTATACACTATAAGAGAAAAGGCTACAAGTCAAGGACACAATTCTCAATGGAATCACATTTTTATGTGATTATTATAATACGCAACTAGCATATAGAGCATTGGATTTAAATCTCAGAAAAGACTTCGCTCAGTACATAGGCTTTCTCTTAGAACTAATGTTACATAATTAAATAAGAATTTGACCATGAAAATCTATTATACCGACCACCAATGTATATAAGACACTTAAAATGAAAGCGTCTAAAATTTGCTGTATTCTACAGTCTGGCACTTTGTATTGATAAAGAGGTCAGGTCGATCCTCGAAATACGATAAAAAAAGAAAACACTTTGTGTATAATACGTTTGTAGTTAGAATAAGGGGTGTGAAATATAGTATCATATCAACCGGAATTCATTTTTCGCCCCCTTACCATAATCATCAATAAAATCACAATTATCAGGTTGAGAAAGGAAAATGTAAAAGATGTAGTCCGCTACACTAGGAACAATTATGAAACACAGATTTCTATTGATAAGGGATTAAGCACAATCTATATTTGTGGACACAATGATTTATTGTTAGTACAAAACTGGTTGCGTAAATCGACACGACAGTTAATGTCACTCATCTAGTAAATAGTCATAAGCAAAATGAACACATCAACGCATTGATTGCAACGTTACCTTGCCAAATAAACTTTTACCGTTTATGCGACGATAGGCAACCTTCAATATTCTAAACTATGTAATAGTAATAAAACTTGTTATGCAGTGTCGAAAAAGAAAGGATATCGTAGTTTGGGCTTTATAAACCATTGCTCAATAAATTATAAACAAATTTCTTGCGGACATAGAGTTTAGTCAATTCTGACAACACTCACTAGGTTGTTACAAGAAAACCGTTAGACAATGGTAGACTTACAATGTTAAACTATTAATAATTCCATTTTCTGACTTTGCTAAAATATACTTACTCCATAACAATGGATTTCCAAGTACGATAATTTTTTCCATTATTGTTATTCTCTTTATAGCTTTTGGCATGCAAGATGTAGGACCTATGTAATGTATTGCCGGTCGGGTATAGATATTATCCACATAGATTATTCGGAATTTGCAATCAAAAAGAAACAAACTCAGCAAATAACACCCATTTATTATTTTTGAAAAGTGACGTAAAGACTTACCGCTTATCACATAACAGATAGCAGGTGAGACGATTGATTAACGTTATGACAAGATAAATTACTTGAACGTATCTACCAATTATTAACGTGCATTTATTTTAAGGAAGGAAATAAATACGAGAGACTAATTTATAGCGCCATTAGAACCTAGTACTGTATCAATATATTTCGTTATAAGTGCATAGCAGACTACTTGGACTGCGGCCAATTAGTCCTTGTTTATTATTATCGAATACAAAGAATGCATACAATGTTTATATACGAAGAATTTACTGTGAGGTGACATCAATCTACACATACAGTATTATAGCAGATTGATTAAAACCGACAACAGATGAGTCGACAAAAGTGATATCTAAAAAAGAGTTGTTTATTACATCAGATTGGGTTGTTACGCGAACAATTAATAACATAATTAAATTTAAGTGATAGACCAAATACAAAGACTGAGTGGTGGAGTAATACGAAGAGTGAAGATGATGCGTATATGCAATGGATAGAATATTCCCTGTTAACAAATGTACAAGAGATGACGCCATTACGTCATGAATGCACGCATATAATAGCAGAATGGAATGAATTGACCCGTGTAACACTCAAAAAAATAGTTGACGAACAAACCGATAATTTTCATCAGGTAAATTATTGCACGTGTAAACAATGTAATCGACAAGTGCATATCATGCGTTTAAATTGATCAGAGTTTAAGTTATAGCTTGTATTCTGTTTACCAAAATAGTTAACTAAGGAATACCCGACAATATTAACACCCGATAATATTTGGATAATTGGAATCACTAAGGAGCCATTTACTCGGGAATATTATTTAGTTTTCTATTACGACGTATATGCAATACTGTACACGTTTATACGAAACAACAATCGTGTTAAATACATGCAGTATAACGACTTTTATGATATTAAACAGATTGGAGCTGGTGGTTACGGAACAGTTTATACTGCCAAGTATAAAAAGTATTCAGAAGTAGAGGATATTAATATGCAACTTCGTTTACTCAAATAACTATATTACCTCTAGACAATATGTCAATAATATTACTTAGCAGCGTCATTCATTTCCGAATATTATTCACATATTTATAAAGTATACTCAGTAAAGAGACTTGAACAAATTTAAGGCCATTGAATCTGGTGGATACATTGCCAACCATAAAACGCAAGTCAGAATAACGCATATGCAAACAGCCAGAATTATTTGACTTTCAAGGTAGCTCCGACGGAGCGGTAATGTTTCGCGAGATTGATAGTCCAATAAGAATCATTTTTAATGCTAACGCTACCATGAAATTTCCTGTGGGCATGTTGACTATTGTCTCTGCTCCGCTTTGCTAATGTTTTGTTTGGTTAAAGCATGGAATTTTGCTTTTAAACTGACTCGACCCTCGTTCATAGGTAATTTTCAAAAGGCAAAGACAAAAGTTTTCGTAAGAAAATATTATATTTTAAACAGTGACTTGACAACTACAACTATAAAGCTTGCTGCTCATATGTTGGATTGATAGGGCATAGACATTAAACGTTTAGTAGGTAATACAGTTGAATGGATTCTAGGGATGGCTATTCCCAATAGTAAATGTTGTGTGAGATAGCGTTTCATTCATAGATCTACACCATTTGCCTGGCAATCATGTCGAATTTACTGCAAAATGTTATTCAGTTTTGCACAACAAAGTCAATTGACTCCCACACGAACCTTGTCTAAGTAAACCCATTAATATTACATTCAATTAGCGGATAATATTTTCGGATCATATTATAGACGTGAATTAGAATTAATATTATATTCTATCTCGACATTTATAATTCGGCATGACTCAATGCATATGTCAAGAGAATACGTTTGGTAATAAATATTCGGTGAAAATGTTCAGCTATTCGATAAAAGTATGGGACAATAGAGTGCGTTATTGATTAGACGGATAACTACATAGATCAATTACAAAAGCAAGAGCATAACGTATTGAATATAATTAAGATCTATTCCGCAGTAACTTGCTTAATATAACATCCATTATCACACATTCCTTGTTAATTATTATTATAGTAAATTTAGTTTTTTTCTTCTTCCCCCTGTTTGCTCATTGTTTTTTTTCGAAGTTGCTATTTTTTATTTTTAATTTTTTTTCGGTTATATCACCAGTATCAGTTTCCAAAATACTTTTATTCTACAAATTAAGTTTGATGGCTCTGCCTTTACTAAGTAACAGTCATTACGATACTTTGACGCCAATGGTACGTATAGAAAGTCAAAGACTGGTAACGAAGGCTTAGCGTTGCACAAGTATAATTCACGATATTACTAAGAGAGTAAGAGCACTTTACACGACACTTGTGGATGACAAATCACTCGAGGGTGAATTAGACCTAAGTGTTCTTGACAGTGACCGTAAATCGCATAATTATAACCATTGTTATTGCTATTTTGTCGTCATTCCACTTGACATTTGCTTATTCTATACGAGAACAATGGTGACTGTGCCATTCGTGATAGTTTATAATTCGTAATGTTGTGGTCGGCAGTCTGGGTTGTGAGAGAGCAATTATCTTTCGCTTAGGCGTGTTGGCCGACAGAAGGCTGTCCTAATTTAGCTTCAGCTCACCGCTCTTATTCCGATAATTGCTTCTACAATTAATCTAATCTAATCAATTAATGTGCGCGCTTTTCTATTCTCTATACAATATACCTCCTGTACTCGTATCCGAACAAGGGTCTCTGTAATAATAACAAGAATAATTATACAGTATATCACAGAATCGAAGGTGACTTAAATATTCTATTTAAACAGGGCAATATTCGATTTGGTATGTCGACTCGTCGGGGTAAACGTTACTTGTGCTTATCCTAAAGCTAACACTAATCGTCTACACTATTAATATAAACTCTCTTTCCGCTATTCGCGTATTTTACCCGCGCCGTTCACATCGTAACCTTACAGCTTAAATAAACTGTTATAGTATATCCGGTTGTAAACTTTGAATGTTTTGCAAGTAATATTTGGCAATAAACAGTAGTAGTAAACAGATTTTACAATTTATTTTATAACAGTTTTTTGTTGGCTAATCCAAACTAGTCATTTTATGTGATTAATTGCTGTTTATGTTGTGTTCCAATAAGTTAACTATGACCTGCAAAACTCTACTAAATTACCCTTACTCTTAAAATAGTGTCATTAATATTAAAAAACATGATTCTGGAACATTTTGCTAAAGCATCTGCATCTCCAACCTGATTTCCATCCAAATACAAAGAAGTCAGAGAAGAGTTTGATTCTAGAGCCTTGGCCAAAGCTGCTGCTCCTGTGTCTCCAACCTGATTTCTACCCAAATACAAAAAAGTCAGAGAAGAGTTTGATTCTAGAGCCTTGGCCAAAGCTGCTGCTCCTGTGTCTCCAATCTTATTGTCACTCAAAGACAAAGAAGTCAGAGAAGAATTTGATTCTAGAGCCTTTGCTAAAGCTGCTGCTCCTGTGTCTCCAGTCTTATTGTCACTCAAAGACAAAGAAGTCAGAGAAGAATTTGATTCTAGCGCCTTTGCTAAAGCTGCTGCTCCTGTGTCTCCAATTTCATTGTGGTACAAATCCAAAGATGTCAGAGAAGAATTTGATTCTAGAGCTTTTGCTAAAGCTGCTGCTCCTGTGTCTATGATCTTATTGTAACTCAAATCCAAAGAAGTCAAAAAAGAATCTAATTCTAGAGCATTTGATGTTGACAAATGTTCATATCCAATCTCTTTTAAGAATTTGTTTAACTGAATTGAAGAGTTTGACCCTAAAGCATTTGCTAATGCAATTATTTCAGTGTCTCCAATATCACACCCAATCAATTTCAGTCTTCTACCATATTGTTCATCATACAAACACTTTAATTGCTTATATACCTCTTCACTTGATGGCCTTTTGTTTGGGTCATCATCCCAACATTTTGAATATAATTCAATGTACTCTTCTGGTGTTTCTGGAAAAGGAGGGTCTCTCAGACCATTCAATCGATACAAAACAACTTCAAAACTTTGAATGCGTCCTTCACATGGGCTCTTGCCACTAGAAATTTCCCACAATATTACTCCGAGACTAAAAATGTCAGACTTTTTCCCTCGCTTATATGATTGAGGATTTGTAAACGTGGCAGGATCAATATATGCTGTGTTACCTTCCCCTTTGGATGTAGATGTAGATTGCTTTAGCATACTAGACAGACCAAAGTCAGTTATTTTCGCAACGCCTTCTTGAATAAGAATATTTGCTGACGACTATGTGTAAAAGAAAATTCAGATGTAAAAACAGTAATTAGATCATTATTTTGCACTGACATATGTAATAGTAAATAGATATAGTAATAGATAACGTCATACCATATCTTTGTGAATTATGTCAAGCACATGCAAGTATTTCAGCCCATTTGTAATGCCAAGCCCCAAGTTATATTTCTCTTTCCATGTCAAGTCCTTAAAACGGTCTGCCAAGTATGCCCGCAGACTTCCCCCGTCAGCGAATTCAAATACCATGTGATAGTGTTGGTCCGCATCTGATTGTATTTAGCAGAATAAGTCGTCGATATTTACAATTTTGAGTTACATTCCCTGTAATGTGATATACTGACCTCTGCATAAACCTAAAAACCGGATAACGTTTGGATGGTCATCTACCTTCTTGTGAGCTTTCAGCTGACACATATAAACATCTATTGTCAGATACATGTTTCTGATGCGACATAATCAACAGCAGCATTAACCACAAACCTCATTGACAAACTTCTTGTATAAGTTTTGCTCATCGACATACTTATCCAACAATAACATCTTCATAG